GTGGTGCTCGATTTCGGTGGTGATTGGTTGGTGGTGGTTCTCGGTTTTGGGTGGTTGTGGGTTGGTGGTGGTTGTGGGTCGATGGTGGTGTTGATGCACAGTGAAAAAGAGAGGCAGAGAGTGGTGGTCTTCTCCGACACAGTGAAAGAGAGAGAGACAGAGAGTTGAAGAGAGGTGAGAATTGAGGATTATTGTCCAAACAAATTTTTTAATTTTTGTTCTTTAAAACTATTTTCAAAAATATATAACTAAACAGGTTTTATAATCTAAAAATTTTTAAAAACACTTTCTTAAAACTCTTCCCAAAAATAGTTTTCAGATACTGTTTTTTGATATGCAAACCAAAAAGCCAATTTTTTTTTTTAAAATGGAGAGAGAATGGAGGAGAANGCAACATTTATCCCTCACACGACGGTCAATTCTCCCCAAATCTTCTTCAGAGATCATCTTCTTCAACCTATCTGCAATTAACGTCGCTACCATGGATGACCTCTCTGCCATGGATGATCTATCTTAATCCGTGGCATAAATCTGTAAGTTTAAATGCTAGGCCTCTCTCCAACGGATCTGCAAAGATCGTGTTCTTCAACCTTCAAATGCCATCAACGATCTCTGTTTCTGCATCTTCTACTGGTATTCACCAGTCACTCAATCTCACGCGTGCGCACACACACACAACCATACACTCAATCGCACACACAATCACTCTGTCTTCACACACACACACACACAGATAGTCATACACACAATCAGGTTGTCACAGTGTAGGGCCTTTCATTTGTTGCATCTCGATTAAGTTTTCCAGCCTATTTTGGCATCAATGTTAGTTTTTTCCTTTTTGTTCAACCAAATGGAATTTGGAGAATCCAATGGTAATTCATGGAGAACCATCTCCATGGAGAAAGAAAGTTAAATTTGTGGGTCCAAGGCTGGACTTTGAAGGATCACTTTATGATGACTATGACCTGATTGAGCCCTCGATCAATTTCAATTTGGAGGATAAAGTTACGAGGAGGACAGAAGAGTTGATGCGTGACACATGGAAGAATAGTTGCTCTGTTGAGGCACCACCATGCTACTTTGCTTAAAACCGTGAAGGTATATGGTGAACTTTGTGGTCAAATTTGTCTTGTCGTCTTATGTCACTAAATGGTTAATATTCCAGGCATGCTAACTACATGGCAAAGTTTTATGGTCTATATTAAATTAAAGCTAAAAGCTTGTCTATTAGGATGAGGAATTAACTTGTGGAAAACTGCCATGTTTGGTTATATTTTTAAAAACTGTTTTTTGTTCTCAAAATTTTAAAAATACCTAAAACCTGTTTGTTTAGATTTTTTGTTCTCTAAACTTTTGAAAAAAAATGAGATTTAAAACAAAAAAATAGAAAACAAGTCACACTTGTTTTCAGCCTTCCCTTTGAAAACTATGGAAACACGGAGAAGTGGGGAACACCTCTTTAATGAGGTTTCCCTTCGAATTTTCTTAGCAGCAAGACTTCCTCTTTTTTTTTTTGCCTTCCTATCTGCCTCTCGCCACTTCGCCCATCAAACAGACGAAGACACACAGATAGAACACATTAGAGAGGAAGCTCTCTCTGTGTCCACTTCGCCTCTTAGACAAAAGGAGCAGAAAGGAAGATGATAAAAGCTTCAAATCTTCAAATCTTCTCTAGATTTTCGGTGGTGGTTGTGGGTTTTGGGTGGTTGTGGTTTTGGTGGTGGTTATGGGTTTTAGGTGGCTGTGGGTTTCGGAGGTGCTTTGTGAGTTTTGGTGGTGGCTGTGAGTTTCGGTGCTGGTTGTGGTTTCGGTGGTGGTTCTCGATTTCGGTGGTGATTGTGGGTTTTGGGTGGTGGTTGTGAGTTTTAGGTGGTGGTTGTGAGTTTTAGGTGGTGGTGGGTTGGTGGTGGTTTTCGATNGTTGTGGTTTCAGTGGTGGTTCTCGATTTCGGTGGTGATTGTGGGTTTTGGGTGGTGGTTGTGAGTTTTAGGTGGTTATGGGTTGGTGGTGGTTTTCGGTTTCGGTGGTGCTCGATTTCGGTGGTGATTGGTTGGTGGTGGTTCTCGGTTTTGGGTGGTTGTGGGTTGGTGGTGGTTGTGGGTCGATGGTGGTGTTGATGCACAGTGAAAAAGAGAGGCAGAGAGTGGTGGTCTTCTCCGACACAGTGAAAGAGAGAGAGACAGAGAGTTGAAGAGAGGTGAGAATTGAGGATTATTGTCCAAACAAATTTTTTAATTTTTGTTCTTTAAAATTATTTTCAAAAATATATAACTAAACAGGTTTTATAATCTAAAAATTTTTAAAAAAACTTTCTTAAAACTCTTCCCAAAAATAATTTTCAGATACTGTTTTTTGAGATGCAAACCAAAAAGCCAATTTTTTTTTTTAAAATGGAGAGAGAATGGAGGAGAAGAGAGAGAGAGAGAAAAAGGCTGGGGGAGAAGAAAGAGAATATTTCTAAAAAAAGTGAGAAGAGAGAAAAAAAAGAGTGGGCGAGTGATAGAGAAGAGAAGGAGGAGAAGAAAGAGAAAAATAGCAGAGAGAACTAGAGGGTCGGCTTTGTCTTTCTTTTTATAGGATCTGCTACTCCAACCTTATCTATTTGTCATATATTTGGGTTGATCTTCCCTAACCCTTGCCACTAATTGTTATGGGTAAACTGACTTGATCCGAAATGTGTACACCTAAGTGCAGGCGGTCAAGTTGTAGTAATAATTCGGTTAAGTCCGGAGTCGAATTCACAGGGAACTATGATTAATATTTTGGAGTAGCAGTGACAGAGACCAAATAACTAAAAACTTTGAGAGTTTGAAGTTATGGGATTTCCTGAATAGAATATAATCTATGAAGTCCTCAGAAATTGAGAACACTACACTGTATAAGACTAAGTTTTTTTCGTAATTTCTTGGTCAAACTTTTGATGGTTGAATTATCGGGGCTCATTGGTATTGCAGGTTCTTCTCAATCAAAAAGAGATCAGTGAGGAAGAAATTGACTTCATTCTGAACAATTATCCTCCACATACACCTACAAGTGTTATATTGGAGGAAAGAGATCCAGGGAGCCTTCCATTCTTCAAACAAAACCCGAGTTTAATATTTTAATTTTATGTGTGGTGAGTTAGTGGAAATTATTGTGGTCCTTGGTTAGTTGTTTCTTTTTCTTTTTTTGATTTTTTTATTTCCTCATCTAATTGAATGATTGGGCCATTATTCAGGAACTTAACTACTTATTTGCTATTGAATCCATGCCGACTCTACAAATAGCATGATTGAAAACTATGTATCTGAGTTAATGGGTAAGAAGCTTTATTGAAAACTATGAATCTTATTTGTTTGGTGAAGTTCTTGTTGTACATCTAAATTTCATGAGGCTTTTGCTTGTTTGGCACACTCACCCTGCTTGGAATCTGCCTAGGTCTAGTTAGGGCTGCTTAGGGTCATTGTAGGATTATAGTCTGATCTAGTAGTCAATAGCGGAGTAATACCATACCCATGATATGAATAATCTATGATCCATCTATGTATACTCAAGTGTTATAATTTTGTATAATTTTTTTTCCTCTAAACATTCAAACCTCTACCCACATATAAAGCACAAACCATTCAACTTATCATTTTTCTCTTTTATGTGTTTTACGGGGAAATTAATTAAGTCTACTGTACAAGGTTTGACGGTGTGCCTTGCAATAGTGCAATTAGGATTTACTTCCAATTTGACTGTGTGTCTTGCAATAGCACACAAAATGTTAAGTGTTTTGATTCTTTGATGTGTATCATTTTAATGATTCTTATTATTTTCCCTGCCTTGTCACTCCAGGCATGTAGCAATCCCAAGCATGACACCGATTGTGGGAGCAAACTTGCTTAAGGGTAACTTTTGTGCCCATTTCCTTTTTCTTTCTTTAAGACCTTTAATATTTTCAAAAATCTATGTAATCATTGAAAAAACAACTTTCATGATAACACTTGTTTTTTTGCTATGTATACATTTTGGAAGTTAATGATTTTGTTTCAGATTAACTTTAAAACGACTGCTTCTTGAGGAAAAAAATTGTCAGTGAGAAATCATTCACGGTATTTTGGAATTAGGTACAATTTCATGATAACACTTAATTTTTTACTATGTATAAATTTTTGGAGAATTTGTCTAAACTGTTTGCTTATGTGTGATCTTTTAGGAACCCTGAGCAGATCCCATGGGGTGAAACTTCTCCTGATGTTGTGGAGTCTTCACTGACAATAACGAAGCTGCAGCCCATTTGAAGCTTTGCTCTGCCCATTTGGAGTCTTCACTGAAACTGAAACTTTGCTGTTGTTTAGGACTTTTAAGTATGCTGCATGTTTTGAACTATCCAACAATGATCACAACTATAGCTTGAAACTTGCTTTTAGTTCATGAATGTAGAAAATGAGCAAAAGAAACAAGGTGAACCAAGCAAAACAGGACATGTGCCATATTTCTGAGACAAAGAGTTTCACTCGAGTAAGTCACGATAGCGTGAGTTGTTTTTTAAATATCTATTGTACTTATGTGATGAACTATACGCATGTATACATGAATATTTATGTAAATTTTTTCTATTAATATTTAATGCATGATAGCGTGATCCCAAAACTGGAGAGGAGCCTAACCGTACAGAACCATGGTTAACAACCAAGTTTAGTATGAAGAGGAATGCTTGGGCTGGCAGGAGATCAGGAGAAGTCTATGTAAGTCCTCTTTGG